CTTGTCATCGGTGCGAAAATGAGCTTCGAACAAAGAGCCAACATTAAATTTTTTTTTAAAATTGGTAAAACTTTTACCGAAACGTTTCAATTGATGAAACAAGTTTATGGCGATGATTGATTGCCTATCCCGAAGCTGAGTGCATGAGTGGTTTCAACGTTTTCAAAGTGGTCGTGAGGACATAAATGAGAAATGAGCCAAAACCCAAAAAATCGCGCCTGGAGAAGTCAAAAGTGAAGACAATGCTGATTTGTTTTTATGATTCCAAGGGTATTGTCCACAAAGAATTTGTTCCACCCGGCCAAAACGTTAATGCGGTATTCTACCTTGGAGTTTTGAAGCGTTTGGTGCACCGTATTCGACGTGTTCGGCTCGAATGTCGCGAAGATGGAAGTTGGCGTTTGTTGCACGATAATGCGCCGTCTCATCGATCGACGCTTGTGGCCGATTATTTGACCAAAAATCACATTTTAACAATCAACCACTCCCCATATTTACCTTATATGGCACCGTGCAACTTCTACCTTTTCGGAAAAATGCATTTGCCGGCACCGGCATACTGGCGGCCATACCGGGCAACGAGCTAAAACACTCGTTCGACATGGTTTTGGACCGTGCAAAAAGCTGTATTAAAGCAGAAGGAGACTATTTTGAATAAAATTTTGTCTTCGACATCATTTAACGGCAGGTTCTGTACTGTTTCGACGGGGTCGGTTTTTATTTAGGTAGATGTTCAAAGAAATGTTTATTGGGGGCCTCATTGCAAGCAGATGATATGTTTGGAATGCCTGGATGAACTCAACTAGGTAAGAGCTGAACTTGTTACAGTTTCCCGAGCGTGATCGCGCCAGAGTTATTTTTGTTGTTGTTATTATTGTGCGCATTATATTTACGAGTATCTCAAATAATTTTGAATCAGAATCTTTTGAACATTAGTATGCTGTTAATAAGTATATTTGCTATTTCTCAAGTCTCATAAAGTATAAACACAAACAAAAACATACATGTTTATTAGCGCTAGCAATGCGTTCGAACAAATTAACATGCTATGTGAGTTAGAAGAAATATAAGTTTCATAATTAAACTTAATAGAAAACAAAATAAACGTTAACTTCGGTTGCACCGAAGCTATGATACCCTTTACAGAACTTTATTCCGATCATTCAATTTGTAAGGCAGCTATATGATATAGTGATCTGATCTGAGTAAATTTTTCGGAGATTGCTTTAGACAATAACCCACGACAAATTTCGTGAAGATATCACGTCAAATGAAAAAGCAAGCAACATGCAAGCCCTTGATTCTAAACGTTCCGTTTGTGTGGCTGCTATATGCTATACTGGTGCGATCTAAAGTATTTCTTCGGAGATTATATTGTTGCCTACACAAATACCTCATGCCAAATTTCGGGAAGATATCTCGTCAAATAAAAAGGTTTCCCATACAAGTACTTGATTCCGATTGTTCAGTTTTTATGGCAGCTATATGCTATACTTATCCGATATCGGCCGTTCCGACAAACGAGCAGCTTCTTAGTGAGAAAAGGACAGGTGCAGAATTTATATTTAGAAATAGTTTGTATATAGGTATACAGTCAGACGGACATGGCTGAATCAACTCAGCTCATCATTCGTGGCAAACTTAATATACCCTGTTCAGGGTATAGTTAGAAATAAATATGCTAAATACGTTATTCTACTTTTATATGAAATATTATATATGATTAGTATATATGTATACAATTTAAGTAAATAGGTGAGTATCAAATGGGGGTTTTCTTACATCGCTTCCCACAAAGCATGATGTATGCGTGAATAGGTGTGTACAGTTCCCGCTATCGCAGTCGCAGTCACTCGAAATGTCACATACTTGGAAATAAATACGACAAATCGCGCTCTACTTTGTTCAGTTAAAAGTAGTGATTACACACTAGGCGTTCGACATGAAGATACAGCTCTGTAATATAATTGGCATTGCCGTCGTTGCTGCCGCATTACATTGCGCTATTGCAATTCAAGTGAACACTGCGTTGGGCAAGATCCTGGGTACAACCCTTAAATCTCGTTTGGGGGCAGACTTCTATGCATTCCGAGGCATACGCTATGCGCAATCGCCTGTTGGAGAATTACGCTTTCAGAACCCCAAACCATATCCGGCTTGGAAGCCAACAGTTTTGGATGCGACTGAGGATGGCCCCATGTGTCCACAGTTAACGGAAAATATAACCGATTTGTCGGAGGACTGCCTACGCTTAAATATTTATACCAAGGATTTATACACCAAGAAACCGGTCGTGGTATATTTGCACCCAGGAGGCTTTTATGGTTTATCGGCGCAGAGTAAAAACTTTGCTGGTCCAGAGAATTTAATGGACCGCAATATTGTATTGGTGACTCTAAACTATCGCTTAGGGACATTGGGATTCTTGGCTTTGGGCAGCGCTGAGGCACCTGGCAATGCTGGTTTGAAAGACCAAGTTGAAGCGCTACGTTGGATTCAGAGTCATATTCGTAACTTCGGTGGGGATCCAAATGCTGTAACACTTTTCGGCTACAGCGCCGGTAGTTTTAGTATTGGCTTACATTTGATGTCGCCCATGTCAAAAGAATTATTCCACCGCGGCATTATGATGAGTGCATCGCCATTGGGACAATTCATTTACGAATCGCGGCAGAAAAGATTGAGCGATAGACAAGCAGAATTGTTGAATTGCCCGAAAGAGCCTTCATCCGACTTAGTAAAATGCCTAAAGAAGGTTTGTTTGAATAAGTAAGAGCCTTAAAAAGCTTCTTGTACAGTTTTTCACAACCGTTAATGCAAAATTATGAATGCATTGTTTTTTTGTTGAGTTCTTTAGAAAACAATGATGGATTTTGTGAATACCTCGGCTGAAATGTTTGATTTCAATTGGAATCCTGTCTTGAATTGGATGCCAGTGATCGAGGAAGATTTCGGGCAAGAACGCTTCTTACTGGAGAACCCTTATAAAACCATACAAAGTTCTAATATCCAGAGAGTACCAATTATAATTGGTATAACGGAGTATGAGTTTATCGGCGGAGCCTATTGTAAGCAATCTTTAAAAATATTTTAATAAACAATAATCACTTACTATTATGTAACACATAGATCTACAAAAAAATGAAACCACGAGAAGATGGTTGAATGAGGAATTTGAAAAGTATGCACCAATCGTACTTATGTATGAACGAGACAGCTTACGTTCCAGGAATATAAGTAAGACAATGCGGTCCATATATTTGGCGAATGCCACCTTAGAGTTGCCGAACACTTTAGACTCTTTCGGGAAACTCTACTCTGACGGCATTATTGGCTTTGAATATCATCGATTTTTGGATCTGATCTCTCGTCTTACGACCGTCTACACATACCTCTTTACTTATAAGGGTCGCTACAGTCATTTTACTTACAATAACGAGGTTTACGGTAAGTAGTTTCGTGTCTTGGACCCCATCTCTGATAAAAAAATCCATAGATCTCAGTCTAATAAATTTGCATATACATATATTAAAGGCGCCGTACATCATGATGAATTATTATACCTCTTGCATGTACCCGTCAAAACACCGCTGTTCAAAAAAACAGATCCCGAAGATGTAGTTATTGAAAATTTAACGCGCATGTGGGCTGAATTTGCCAAAAACGGGTAAGATATTTGCAATATTCACAAAAATCAGATCAGTCTCCAAAGGTCGCAATTTCGCTATTTAAATGATTCAACCAAAATGAAAATACAGTGACTGCATCTCCCTCCAATAAAATCTTAATACATTTTTTGAGAGGAGTATAATTTGAAACATTATGTAAATATATTGTATTTATTTTTAGAGATCCGAATAATGCAACTGATGAGTATCTGAAAGATTTCAAATGGCCGCCTTATACCGAGGATAAAAAGTCTTACTTAGTAATAGGGAAAGACTTGGATATTAAGGAGGGTGGAATTTTCACACAGCACTTCCAAATTTGGGACGAGCTATTTCCAGTGCCTAAGTTCGCCTAAAGTACACTATTGCTGATTATCTACATTATGTATTTACGTTTAGATAAATAAAATTAGATTCTATGAGCGAATTCTGAGTGTATAATTCTGTAAAGAAATATGAAAACTGTGTGTGAACAAATCGGTATTGAAATTCGGATACGAATTGCAATGAATTCTATAAAAAATTTTGTCTTACTTCACTTCGAATGATTAAACGATACCTCTTGGCGTCTCCACTTGAACATTTACATAGTGAGGCCCTCGTGCTTCCGGTCAGGGAAGAAGCAGTTTCTGCTGGGATGTTTTTGGAGGATGTACTTGGAGTCAAACCACCACCCATCGCAGACGAAGAGAATCTAGAAAGACCCTTGCGCAACTTAGTTATGTTCTGTGTATACTGTAGCAGGTTAAACTCCTACTTATCCAGAATCGACCCCAACGAATCAAATATATGTCAAGCGTGCAATGAGTCTCCGCATGACACTAACCACCTCTTTGCATGCCCAACAAATCCCACTCATCCAACACCCTTCTCCCTATAGTCCGACCCCGTCGAAACAGCACGTTTCCTGTGCCTACCGTTAAATGACTTCGATGACAACCAGGAAACTTATATGAGGAGTATAAAAAACGTTTCGATAAGCTCAAAGTACAATTCCTTTGGATAGTTATACAGGCAATAAGGTTTTCGCCATTATTCGTAAAAAATATTTACACTGCATTGAATCGTTTATTATAGTCCAGTTTATATATAAATATATATAGCGGCGTAACTATAATGTACAATAGCTTTTAATTACTATTTAAATTATTAAGTTAAACCAACTATAAATTTAGTTACTAACTCGATTGTCTTAATGCAAATGGCAATACACATAAACACTAATACACATGAAACCTCATACATCAAAACAAATATAAAGAAAATGAGGGTATTCATCTAGTCATTGACAACAATGGAAACATTAATGCTCATCAAAAATAAAATACCGACCTGGCACGTTGCACCGTTGGCTGCTCCCCCACTTCAGGTTGTACACAGATTTGCGGATTTGGCGTTATCGGACGCACCGGTTGCGCATTCTCCAACAATCCCGTTGGCATGGTAACGTGATCGGTTACCGACGATATCGAAATGGCGTTGACATCTTCAGTATTTTTGGCCATGCTATCCCTCTGCACTAACCGATCTACGTTCTCGTCCGACGCAGGCGACTGTTCGCCATCTTGTGTATTTCCCATGACAATGCCAACAGAGGGCAAAAAGTCGTTTTCATTAAAACCCGACTTTCCGGAAGCAGCCTTGGTAGTTGCAGCGAGTGCGAAGTCTACATCCGAATCAACTTCGGGCTCATAAATACTGCTGTCGTTCTCATCGCTATCTGTGCTGCTGTGAGAATTGCGCTGCGCACGTCCCACAGAAAATGTAGCTTTCTCAGCTTCCACAGCATGTTCTATTGAAGTTTGTGACTGACGCATGACCTGTGGATTTATTTTGGCTATTTCATTAGCCTGTTTCTGATTGTTGCTGTTTGCGTTGGAATTTCTGTTTTTATTCGGATTAAATGACTGCCCCAACTTGGAAAATTGACCGGCCACATTAAATATTGCTTTCGAACTGATTTGTACCAGTTGAGATTCGGAGCGATTGCGCGGCATGCCCTTAAAGAAGCAGATAATGTAACAGTAGGCTCAAGAGAGACACTATATAACGTTACCTTTGGTACTTCTAGCATTGGATTTCTACTTTTACGGCGCTGCAAAACACCTCCAGTGATATATCGCACATCAGACTTGCCTATATTGTCAATGGCAATGCGGAACATATCAACAATGGACATAAGGGATTCTGTAAGTGTAGGTATGAAAAAATTATATATTATTAAGAATACTGATGTTGAATGTTCAATGCCTACCCATAACTTCTTCCTGCGTTTTAATCACATAAACCATATTATTGAAGAATCGTATATTCGCAGAGCGAAACATGTGGAAATATCCGTCCACTCCATCGACAGTATAGTTGAGCCGCAAACAGAGCAGAGCTGGCGCAGATCCTTGAAACAATTTGGTTTGTTGATACATGCCCATCTCTATTAGCGCAATATTCTGTAACGGCACTTTTTCGAAACGTACGATCTTATCCAAATGTGAATCATATTCGGCTACAATGTAGCAATCATCGGTGAGCAACAACACAGTATCCACATCGGTTTCATTTAGGTCACCAGTACTACAAAACAAAATAAACTTAGAGTTGCTATAACTGGTACTAACTCTACAAGAATCTCTACACACGTTGGATCAGCGTCGATTAGACCCCAAGAACCCACGGGATATTGCGCTGAACCGAGCAGCAAACGACGACAATCATCTACGAGCAATTTTGCTTGTTCTGCACCCTCTAGAGCATCGGTTTCATCAGGTACAGCCTGACCGCCCAACGCATTCAATGACTCGGCAGAAACTTGATTTCCGAGCATGAGATCGATGGTGGCTTGACGATAAGAATCTTTAAAACGCGCGAGATAATAACTGAAATTTAACCACAAGAAAAGAATACACAAATAGTGAGGTAATAAAAATTTACACAGCCATAAATCAAAATAAAAAATAATATTAAAAGCGCATTCAATTAAATGGTGATATTGTGGTTAGAGAATAGACAGTAAAGCGAACTTATAAATAACACAATAACCAAAAAGAGGAAGGAGTTAAAACAAAATAAATGAAATTCAAAAGAATAATACCTTTTTAAATTATAGAAGTAATACAGCGGAAACAATAAAAGCAACAAAGTTAACTAAATAACTAGATTTCGAATGCGTTCTTGGCTTGGCGGGTGCGGCGCACCTTGCGTTTATGATATTTTCTAGAAAATGCAATTCCGGACCAAGCACACCGGCGTGATAGTAACCGTGTGTAGGCGCCGGGGCAGACGAGCAGAGCATACATAATATTGTCTTCATAACTTCATCCTCTTTCAATTGATCAGCTTCGACCAGCTTGCCTTGCATTAAATCAATTATGCATTGCCGGAAGGAATCAGCGAAATTTTGAATGAAGAAACTACGAAGAACGAGTTTTTAAAGGTGGTATTATGTAAGTTTTGAATGGTAATGTTAAATACAATTCAATAGAAATGTATAAAATGACGCATATGAGCTAAAAAGTAGCAAAACAATTGGAGTAACATTGTGTTGGATGAACAAAAAGACGTTTCTAATATACGCGATTAAATAACCTTAACTATAAATGTACAAGGTGTGTTCAAAGGAAAAGGTGAATTATGAATTTTTTTGAAAAGTACTTATTTATTCATCAATATCTATTTCGTGCCAACGTTTTTTCCAATCCTCGAAGCACTTCTGAAATGCGCTTTTCGGTATGGCCATCAGCTCTTTGTTCGATTTTGACTTGATCACAAGAATTGTGGCGAAACGCTTTCCTTTCATTGGTTTCTTTAGTTTTGGGTTTATGAAAAAGTTACAGGGATCCAAATATGGTGAATAAGGTGGTTGAGGCAAAACCGGATCGTTGTTGACGTTATTTAGTAACTCCCGAGCGAAACTAATGCGGCATTGCTTTTGTTCAAAATTTAACAATTTCGAAACAAACTTCGCTGCCACACGTTTCATGCCCAAAACCTTCCGAGAAAATTGAATGGCATGAGCCGATTGATATGCCAACATCCTCTGCAACTTCCCTAATAGTGATTCGACGATTGTAAAGAACAATTTAGCTTGTTAACGTGGTCGCACCCCGAGGATGCTCATCGTCATCAACATCTTCTGTCTTCTGTAAAGCACTTGTACCACTTATATACACTATTTTGAGACCAAGTGGACTCACCGAATGCCTTGGAACACTTTATTTCATTTTTAACGCAAAATTTAATACGTATTCTTTGATCCATTTCTTTCAAAAGCAAAAATCGAAGAGCACAAATAAACGTAATTACCCTTTTCTGTTGTCAAAAACAAACTACTAATCGAAATTGGCTCCTAATGCAAGCACATGATAAACATATGTGTTCAATTATAACAAAAACAAAATATCGGTAATCGAGTGTAAACAGCCCGCGAAAAATCAAAATTCACCTTTTCCTTTGAACACACCTCGTATATCAACTTCAATACGAATAGTTCAAAATGTATATACAACTAACCGATTTGCCGAATTCATACCGTCCTTCATCATGCCACTTATTTTACGCTCGCCGGTGCGGGTATAATCGCCCTAAAAGCAAAGATAAATAAAATTTAATGTCAAAATGTAGATGCATATAAAGTTGCATTGAGCACCTTTAGCGCATTTGTGCCCGCATATTGTCGGCTTATTATATCACCATTGTTGGCCCAAAGTATCATAAATGGTGATTTTAGTTGTTCCGGTATCGGTGTATATGGTGGCGATAAGCCGAGCTTAACCAGCTGCGACTCCAGCACAGCTTTGCCTATTGCAGTCTCTACTACATTTGTGCGATCCAAACAATCCATACAATTAACCCGAAATACTGATTTTTGATTACAAATAATACCACGCTGATCACGCCAATGAAAGCCCATAGCGCCTGCTTCAGGAGCAAGCGCCTCCACCAGTGCAGAAACATTTTCGAAACGCATGCCGCGACTGCAAAAGAATTTAAATAATTATATGTTTATGTAAATAATTATATCAATAACTGTCGAGTTACGCACCAGTAATCGTGGAAATCAAAAGTAACATATGTTAAACGATCATTATTGTAAAGCACAACATGCTTTGCATACGTGTCGCCAATCAATTTCTCCTTGCCGCTCTGCTCAACCAAATTGACAATGCAAACACCATCATACAACGATATTTCTTTGGTAAAATGCAATTCGAATGCCCCCTGCGTTTCTTGTTCACCTTCAAAAGTATGCGAAAATGAAGTTAATACACAAAGAGATTGAATTTACCACCTACCCCTGTCCAAACGTGGCGGAGGTCGATATTTGTAACCTGGCTGACTCCAAAAGATGGGCACTGAACCACGTACCTGTGTGAATGACAAATGATGGTGACGGAAAGATAATATTTGCTCCGTTTCGACATAATTGGCGCAATTACCCTCCTCGTCCACGCCACGTCGCTTATATCTATAAAGGTAAACCAAAAGCAATCCAGTCACAAGCAGGGTAAATACACATTAATGCATCAACACTTACCTAGTGCCAGCGCGATATCGTGACCGGCGCGATACTAACGCCAATGTAAAGCATTCATTTCCTATAACGCATGGTTCTACTTGCACGAATCCTTGTATAATTGGTAATACCCATGTATTGTCCTACAATATACACATGCATATTTATTAAATAAAACTTCAATAACCGCATGCGGATGTAAACTAACTTTGAACTTTAAAATGTCAGCAATCATATGCATATTCCAAAAGAAACGTTCATCATATTGTTGCCTTTGTTCACCGCCACCATCTTGCCGCTGCAAATTATTGGTAATGTCGCTGTCCAAACTGAAGTAGAAACTATCTGTATCATCAAATATCTTATGCAGCTCTTCCGTGATGCGCTTTTCAATACGCGAAGGATCGCGTATACCCACAGAAGATTTCATCTGATTAGATGCCAAAGCAGCAGCTTGTTGGGTGGTATTCTTAATAGTGTTACCCGCATTCTTTACAGCGCCCCATGTTTTGTTCATCAGCTGTGCACCTTCAAAAAGCTTCGTTTTCGTGGTGGAAGTAGGGGTTTTGTTGGTGCTGCCTGTAGTGGAAGTGTTCGATGTTGGCCGGTGTGTGGGCGTGCTATTGGCGCTTCTACTTGGAAATACAAATGTTGAATTGAATAATTTGTAATTTCCAATTTAAATTTTTGTCCTCACCTAGAGTGCCTTGTGCAGGAGGTCAATACTGTGTCCGGTTCGTCGGCATTCAAAATGCAGATCGATTTGATTTTATACACTAAACTCGGAGCATAAAGTACACCGACGGGAGTGGCCTCCTTCACTATCACTAAGTGCGGTTCGTAGACATTTGGTAAGCAGATGACACCCACAATGCCATGTGTAATACCAATACATTCGATGTCATCCACTGAGGACAAGTCCCAACCTAAAAATAAATAATTAACTGGTGATAAAAAGTTGGTTTAATTACATTGATCTCCGAACAACCAAATCAAAGAATCAAAAAATATTTATATTAAACTTAAAAATAAAAATAATAAGAGACACATTTTTATTTATTAACAGAAAACAAGTATCTAGAACAATGAAAAGAGAGAAGTCGTATTTTCCTATTTTAAAGACGTTATCCGCATATAAATCAGCGGTAGTTTGTTTTTGTCAATTCCCGAACAACTGTTGACACAGAATCATTCCTGTTTGGTTTCGAATTATTCACGTAGACAATAAGAATGATTGATTCTACTTAAATCTATAAATTAGGGAATTGAGATAACTAATACGACTTCTGATTGACTGGTATTTATATATTTATTTATTTATTTGAACGCCAATCGGCAATATACATAGATATAATAAAGAATTCAAGTATTATACAAAAGTTGCTAGGGTATATTAGTGTAATATCTGGAAAATATTCAAATAATTGTAAGTTAATATGTAATTCAGACTTGATTTAGATGTAATTCAGACGAGCAGGTGTCTCTTGGTGTTTTCGGTAAAAGCAGCGTATGTTCCTCCATAGAAATCAATTTCACTTTGAAGTGAATTTACTAATTTAGCCAGTCTGTTCTGAGGACCATGGATAAAATAATTTTTCTTGGTTTTCGATGTTTTTAGATCTATTTCGCCTCAGAGTGAAGCCAGGGTTCCGAAATACATACAACGTCGTACTGGTTAGCCGCTAATGCTGTTTGAAATGTTGAGAGTTTTGTACGCAGACCTCTGACGTTCTGGTAGCACAGGTGGACGTAAGATACTTTCTTCTTGCTCGTTGAGCGAACGAAAATTTCTTTTAACGATTCTTGGGACACCATGGATATATTTAATTGTGTTACTGTCATCACCACTCTTCACGATTGAATCAAGCTCTTGACGCAAATTTTTTCAGATGAAGTTGTTGAGAGGGAGTTAGATCAGTCTTGAAAATAAAACCTGAGTTTTCGTCTGTTGGTATGTATTTGATAATGGAAAGTGCAGCGGCTGCTGAGCGGGTGGTAATGTGAAGAGGACGTGTACGTCCAGGTGTAGGACGACCCAGTCTACGTAACTTGAGTTCAGTGGCCTCATCCTTGAGACTGGGAGGCAAAGCTGTGACTAACTTTGTTCTGTCATCCAATATATTAAAGTACTTAAGCAACCACATTATAATTACCGCTTTTTTTTGCCCTTTACTACAATATCAGTGAAAGCAAACGAGAACGTACATACTTAAGAGCACTTATATCAAAAGGAAAAATTTTACCATAAAATGTGAAATATTGGCGGCAAATCAGTACAAAATATTAACAACGGTTTCTTTCAACTATTGTTACTACTACACATATTTATGTATATATGTATGAACATTTTAGTTCGGATAACGTAACTGGGTATATAGTAGGTATATATATGTATATGTGCGTAGGTTTTTAATTAGGTAGAATAGGAGCCATAAATGTAATAAAATAAAAATTGGAAAACGGTTGGCCTCAAGGGCCATCCCTGCAACTTCCCGCTAATTTCATGCGTTAACGTTCAAATTTCGCTTTTTTCACTGCTAACAGTTTAATGGGAGTTTAATATAACACTATTTCCCAAATTTCTCAAAGACTAATCAATTTTGATGATTTCTTTCGTTAACGATTTCTCGAAAGCAAATCAACCGATTTCGACAAACGATGTGTTTCTTCAAGGTTTAGAACTGATTAGTTTTTGGTATCGATCGGTCGAGTCGTTTGGAAGCAATTTGAAAAAAAAAAGATTTTTTCGAAATTTTTCATTTTCGAAATCTGGCAAGTAAATCAACCGATTTTGACCCGGTTTGCGGCAACCGATGTGTTTTTTCAAGGTTTAGAACTGATTAGATTTTGGTGTTGATCGGTCAAGTCATTTGGAAGAAAATCTACTGGTCCGATTGGGTCCAAACTTACACGAAATTCAAGTGCAATGAAACCCTTTAGAATTAGGTTTAGTTTATTCAAATCGGTTGAGCCGTTTAAAAGTTATAGGAGGTTTACATACATCCACACACACACACATACATCCACATATACATACAGACATACGGACATCATCGTAGAAATGTTCGGGGAAGCTTCCTCGACCCTCAGAACGTCGAGATCTGTTGAGAATTCGATTTTTGCAAAATGGGGTGAAACCAATAACTTCCAGATTTTTAGAAAATTTTCAATTTTCTTAGCGGGAAATTAAAAATTTGGGGGAGAATAGCCAAAGCTATTATACCCTTCACGAATGAAAAAGTTTCCATACGAGTACTTGATTTTGCTATAGAGGTCTGATCTGAACAATTTGTTCGAAAATTGCAGCGTTGCCTTGGACAATAATCCATACCCGTTCCCACGACAGTCGGGTCTACGTAACCGGAACGGACCCGGATTTATTCCGGCCAACTCGGCAGAATTCTGCCGCTACAACAACAACAACAACAATAATCCATACCAAATTTCGTGAAGATATCTCGTCAAATAAAAAAATTGACCTTACAAGAATTTGCTATCGATCATTCAGTTTGTTTGCCAGACGGACATGGCTAAGTCCACTCAGGTCGTAACGCTGATCATTAATATATATATATTATAAGGCCTTCGACGATTCGATTTGGGTGTTACAAACTTCGTGGTAAAATTACAGCTGTCCAGGGCATACAAACATTGTTCATACATCGTAACATCACTCCTCACATTGGCCTCATTGTCAATTTCAGCACACTCCGAAACAGAAACCAGAAAATTTCTCGCGCTACTTCAATTATAGATTAAGTAGAGCATTTTTTTATATCAGCAAAGAGTACTGTCCCAGTGAAATAAATACGTGAGTTCAATTTTATACCGTTTACAGGTAAATTAAGTTTGACTCGGAAGATGTAACATTCAGAACGAAACGTGGAATACCCTATAATATATATACATGTATAAAAATAATAAGCATCTGGCAAGCAAGGATCTGTCTGTATATATGCAAACTGGCTCCTCAGATATGAAATTTTTCATACGTCTTTTTTTCCCCAAGAAGCTGCTCATTTATTGAAACCGCCGATATCGGACATAGGATATAGCGGCCATAAAAAGTGAACGATCAAAATCAAGTTTTTGTATGGAAAACTTTTTTATTTGTAAAAGGTATTATAATTTCGGTCATCAACTAATGACGATCTATAGAACATAAGGGCCATATGATTTAATTCTCTTGTTTAAACACAATAATTTTATTACATATTGTATGTACACGTAAGTACTCCAATAACCAATAATTTAAGTTAATTAAACTCGTTTCAGGCACAGATGCCAAATTAGAGCGTATTATAGGGGCTACCTCGAGCATATAGTATAATCGTGGTTGCCTTCGGCTGTATATTAATCAATCGAAAAAATTCATTGCTGCGTAATCAAAAATATTTACTAAGAAAAATTTAACACCTATGAAACGCACATAATGCATACAACCAACAAAGTAACAAACTGTTTATCATGTTATTTAATACAAAATATATAAATATACATAGATATTCCTACCTGCTTTAATAGTAAACTCAGAGGTTTTTCGATGCCACCACAAACTTTTTTCGCGTTTCACGAAAATGTAATAATTATCAGTTTGAAAAACTTCCATTTTAAAGGCAGACAAAATTGCACTACACTATATTAAGTAAAGTTTCTAATTATTTTCACTTTTATTCACTAAACAGTTTCAAGTATTTGCATTTTTATAAGAGCAGACCAATCAAATGATTAGCATTGATTTATTTAGGCGAATGGCTTTGAAGAGAAATTTGAAAAAATATAAATGTGAAAGAGTAAACAATGACAGAAAATTATTTGTCAAAAGACTCAGCTGATTGGTATTGCCATCATATTATCATAAATATGTAAAATACGTTCTCTGTGTATGTTGCCAGACCCGCAAAACACAGAACAAAGTGGCAACAAAGCTTTAGTCGATTTAAAATATTGTAACGGATTTCTCGATAAATCGTCTACCGGTAACTCAATCTTGAGTTTGATCACTGGATTGTTAAATAAAAGTCTCAATTTAATGGCTACACACTTATCTTTATTTCTAATTCCAACAACTTAACACTTATTGCTCGTTATTCGAGCTTACAACTTCTTGCTTATAGCTTAATTGCTCTTATCACGACAACACTCTAACTAGAGCTGTGTTTGCTGCACAATCCGGCAGCCCTTATATAGTAAATCTGTAACAAAACATTGCTTCTAGAAAATTCTGGCAACTACGAATTCGGTAACTAGCTGCTTCTGGCAGTTTATCGTTGATTCGATTTTGTTCTATCATCCGTGTTCGTCACACTGCCCTCCCCCTAAGTCTGATCGTCCCGATAAGACATATTTGCGATATCAAACACAAAGCTTTTATGTCCCCCATCTCGTCTTCTAGGCTGGTGCTGACATTGTTAGCCGTCCTTCTCTTCTTGGAGTTGATTCCATCCGTTTTCCGGATACTCAGTTTCTGGTACATCCCTTGATTTAAAGTTGACTCGAGATTCCATTCTTGATCAGAACGTAACTCCATGGAACACCGAATCTCGTTACCCAATTGTTGATGAATGCCTCCGCCACTGGTTCAGTCTCTTGGTTAGGAATTGTGTATACTTGTGGCCATTGGTTGAAATGGTCCTTGACTACCAAAAACATGACTATTTCCTAATTTATTGGTGGGGAATGGACCATCTTCATACACGCCTATTTTCTCAACTGGCGCACGCGAATTGTGCTGTTTCATCTGCCCATGACTCCTGGACCTTGATCCTTTAGCTACAATGTTCTCAGCATATTTCGCAATCCTTTCTATAGCTGATTGACAACCAGTCCAATAAAACCTTTGCTTCAAATGCTCCAAGGATTTCATGTCTCTTAAGTGCCCTCCTCGTGGACATTTGTACTGCACGTTAAGAACATCAGGAATTCCAACCCTTGGAACAACCATAAGTACTCGGAAGGTTTGCCCATTTTCGCTTTTCCATACTCGATGCAAGCAGCCATACACTAAATTTAAACTGCTCCGTTCTGCCCAATATGATTTTGTGACTGGCCTTCCTGTAGTTATTTCTCCAATCGTTGTACATTGGTTCAACTCCACCTTATGTAATGCACCTTCCAATTCTGGATCTTTTTGCACAGAGTCATCCGTTTCAGGTTGAATTTTATGCTGATCTTCCACCTGTGATGGTATACACGCTTCCTGCTCTTCCAACTGTGAGAACACCTGCCCTGCCATACGCAGTTCCAGCTCTTTCGACTGTGAGGACCCTTGTACTGGTACACACGCTTCCTCCTCTTCCGACTGTGAGGACATCTGCGCTGGCATGCGCCCGTTCAGTTCTTCCGACTGCGAAGAAACTTTTGCTGGTATACAAGCTTCTTGCTCTTCATACTGTGAAGATCTTGGTTCACATGCTTCCTCCTCTTCCAACTGTGAGGATACCTGCGCTGACATATGCACGTCGAGCTCTTTCGGTGCTGACAACTGTGCTGAAAAACGTGCATCTTGCGCTGCGAACTGCTCTTCCAAATGCGTTGACAATCGCGTTTCCATTTGAGACATACGTGTACCCTGTTCTTTAAATAGTGTCGACATTTGTGTTTTCTGCTCTTTAATTTGTGTCGATATTTGTGATATTGCGGCAAAAACCATGTTTATGTCCACAATCTTTGACGAGCATTGAGCCTATTCCTTTTCTTCTATCTTTGTTGTCTCTTCTTCTAATTCCATGTGAAAGACATATTCCTCCACATTAATGTTTTCCGCCTCCATGGCCTCTCTCAACCGTGATTGTAATTCAGTTATTAATCCATTTGTCGCCAAACCCCGTTGCTCCAGCTCCTTTTTCAGTTGTGGAATCTTCAGATCGTTAAACTTGGCCATTTTCAAACAATTCTCTCTTTGGGAATTTATTTGACAATCCCACTTCTGACACCAATTGTAACGGATTTCTCGATAAATCGTCTACCTGTAACTCACTATTGAGTTCGATCACTGGATTGTTAAATAAAAGTCCCAATTTAATGGCTACACACTTATCTTTATTTCTAATTCCAACAACTTAACACTTATTGCTCGTTATTCGAGCTTACAACTTCTTGCTTATAGCTTAATTGCTCTTATCACGACAACACTCTAACTAGAACTGTGTTTGCTGCACAGTCCGGCAGCCCTTATATAGTAAATCTGTAATAAAACATTGCTTCTAGAACGAATTCGCTAACTAGCTGCTTCTGGCAGTTTATCGTTGATTCGATTTTGTTCTATCATCCGTGTTCGTCGCAATATTTTACAATTCTAAAATATTGTAACGGATTTCTCGTCTAACTATAACTCACTCTTGAGCTCGATCACTGGATTGTTAAATTAAAGTCCCAATTTAATGCTATACACTTATCTTTATTTCCAATTCCAACAACTTAACACTTATTGCTCGCTATTCGAACTTACAACTTATTGCTTATAGCTTAATTGCTCTTTACACGGCAACACTCTAATTTGAACTGTGTCTGCTGCACAATACGTCAGCCCTTATATAAAAAATTTTTAACAAAAGTTCGCTACTAGAACAATCTGGCAACCACGAATTCGCTGTCTAGTTGCTTCTGGCAGTTTATCGTCAATTCTGATTTGTTCTGATACTCGTGTTCGCCACACTGCCCTCTACCTAAGTCTGATCGTCCCGATTAGACATATTTGCGGTACCAAACGCTGCAAGCCGTTCCAGATGAACCACCTTCATTTTATTCCTTGGTCTTCCAATGGTCTGTATGCGATACACTACATTATTAAGTCGTTTCATAACCTGGTATGGTCCTTCCCAATTACACTGTAATTTGGGAGATATCCCTTTCTTTCGTTGTGGGTTATATAACAATACCCAATCGCCTTCAATAAAGCCCTTAGAGTTTATTGCCTTGTCGTATTTTGCTTTCATCTTATCGCCCATAATTTTGGTGCGCTGTCTCACCATAGCATCTCATCTCATCTCATCTTCTAGGATGCTATTGAATTCCTTAGTATTCCTTCCTCCGTTGGCGTTAATTCCAAATTTTAAATCAATCGGTAGTCGAAGATCATTACCAAAAATTACCCTTTCTGGAGTCTGCCCCGTTGTTTCATGTACAGCAGACCGATAGGCCATCAGGAACAAGGATATATGGGTATCCCAATCTTTTTGATACTTGTCCACAACTTTCCTCAAATCTTCTTACAAAGTTCGATTGAATTGTTTTACGATGCCATCGGACTGCGGATGTAGTGCAGTTGTACGGGTTTTCCGGATACCCAGCTTCTGGCATATCTCCTGTATTAGAGCTGATTCAAAATTTCTCCCTTGGTCAGAATGTATTTCTATTGGAACACCATATCTCAATACCCAATTGTTGATGAATACATCCGCTACTGTTCTTGCCTCTTGGTTAGGAATTGCGTATACCTCTGGCCATTTGCTGAAATAGTCCATGACTACCAAAACATATCTATTTCCTAATTTACTGATAGGAAATGGACCATCTACATCCATGGCTACTCGCTCAAACGGCGCACCTGAATTGTACTGCTTCATCTGACCATGACTCCTGGACCGCGGCCCTTTAGCAGCAATGCACTCGACACAATTGGCGATCCACTCCGTAACTGATTGACGACAACCAACCCTATAAAATCTTTGTATAATATTAATTTCTCCAAGGTTTTAGTGATACCCATGTGTCCTCCACTTGGACCGTTGTGCAGCTCGTTGAGAACTTCGGGAATTCTTACTTTTGGGACAATCATCAGAGGTCGTGAACTTTGCCCATCTTCGCTTTCCCATACGCGATGCAAGCAGCCAGACACTAACTTTAAACTATTCCATTGTGCCCAATAAGCCTTTTCGACTGGGCTTTCTGCAGCTATTTCTCCTCTTGTTGGACGTTTATTCATCTCCAAATCGTGTATTACACTTTTCAAATCTGCATCCTCTGGCTGACATTTCCGTAGCTCCAGTCTGATGTTATAGTCATTAATCGGACATCTATCTTTCTTTGGCCTCAGCTTTTGAGCAATGTCTGCATTCCAGATTACAGGAACGGCGGGACATGGCATCAGCATTGCAATGACTACTACCTTTGCGATGTTCTACAGAGAAGTCGTAACTTTGGAGTCTCTCAATCCACCGTGCCAACTGTCCTGGGTTCCTGAATTGTAGAAGCCATTTTAATGCTGCATGATCTGTCCTCACCCTAAATCGCTGGCCATAAAGGTACTTATGAAAATGTTTGATGCACTTCATCAACGCCAGTAATTCCCTCTGAGTAACACAATAATTTCTCTCTGGCTTGCTTATGGTCTAGCTGTAATACGCAACCACTTTCTCATGCCCATCAATGACTTGTGATAGAACGCCTCCTATTGCAAATCCACTAGCATCCGTATCCAAAATAAAAGTTGATCCTGGGACCGGGTATGCCAACATTGGCGCAGTACTTAACCACTCCTTCAGAGTTTGGAAAGCCACTTCCTGTTCTTTATTCCATTCAAAAACTCTGTTCTTTTTCGTGAGTTCATGGAGGCTACTAGCTACGCAAAATTTGGAACGAACCGTCTATAATAAGTACATAGTCCAAGGAAAAGGAGCGGGCCAATCTCTTACTGCCTCGATCCTTTCATTAGCTGTGCAAATGCCCTCCGTTGTCA